GACTCCCAGAGATTGTTTGGGATGACACAACCTGGCTCAGGTCAAAGTGTGACCACTTAAAATTTGATGATCATATTCCACCAGGAATCTTCTTGGTCACTGTCTAATTTACTACTATATGCCAAGTCTACCTTATTTCAACGATCAAAACAGAGTGGACTTCCAGAGCATGACTGTACCCCAAGGTGCATTTAGGTGTGTTTAGATGTCTTGTCCAGACACAAATTAACTGTGTCTGAAAAAAGGAAAAATTAAATGAGAGCAATTAAGGGTCATGTGAAAAAAGGATATATTCTAAATGCATCTACGCTTAATGGCAATCAACTGTATTTCACACAGGGTCCATTGCATTTCTGTGGGCTTTGTACAGACTTCCCACTAAAAGCAGCATACTAATGAGCAACACAGGAAAAATCACATTCACAATGAAATTCCTAGAACAATAAAATAGAATCATAGAATCATAGAATGGTTCGGGTTGGAAGGGTCATTAAAGATCATCTAGTTCCAACCCCCCCTGCCATGGGCAAGGACACCTTCCAGGTTGCTCAAAGCCTCATCCAACCTGCCCTCAAACACCTCCAGACATGAAGCAGCCACAACTTCTATGGGCAACTTGTTCCACTGTTTCACCACCCTCATTGTAAAAAATTTCTTCCTTATATCTAATTGAAACCTACTCCCTTTCAGTTTAAAGCCATTGCATATCTGTAGTTTTTAAATACCTAATGTAATTCACAGGACAATACATCTTAAAGAACCACAAGCTTCTGCCAATCCCTTTCTATAGGGATGTAACTTAGTTTTAACATTTTGCTGGCATCTAGCCTACTTTCAAGGTAGTATATTCTTCCAGGGAAGTTATTTTCCCTCTACTGTTTATTCAAACTTGCAATGTACTATGAAAGCATAACGGTAGCTCCTGCAACTGAATTATTGCCATATAACAACTGAGAGTTCCTAAACTAGTAGTCAGAGTGACAGATGAATGGTGTTTCTTTTAATCTCAGGGGAATAAAAGTGAAACAGAGCATTCACAGCATGATGCTCTATTCATTCCTTTGTATGTTGGTTCAGATTTCTGATTGGAAGATTTTTCTCCTGGTGCGGAAGGTACTGGAACTATAAAACAAATGATGAAAAACGGATACTTACAGAACAAGAGAGATGTCAGCTTTGCAATGATGTTGACTAAAGTCTTAAAAGGGCTATACTTGATTTTAATAACAAGACACGGAGAATTTGATAGTGGTTCTCATACAAAAGTTTAGCAGAACTGGAGTTACCATTCACAAAATCACAGCCAAACCTGTATCTAGTTTTACTACGGACAGATCACCTGAGAGGTTCAGAGTACTAACATAAGGACAAAGACGCCCAAAACTGCATCTCTACCCAAACTGCAAAATAAGGAAAAGTGCAGAGATTTTAAATGAGCATGCAGCTTCTCCCCACACCAATCCAGCCATATCTCACAGAAATCTCGGCTCTCCCTTCTAAATGATTTTTAATAGACAGAGGAAAGCAAAATTGCAATCCACTAGCAAGGTTTTATTTCTTGTGAATTCTGTCATAACAGCCAATAGAAGGGAAATTGAATTCCCGAGCACCACCAGCTCTGGCATTCCAGAGCCTAACCTGTACAATAAAAAAGATGTTACATAGATCACTGTTACATGTGTCATTCTCAATAGACTGTCACCTGTTATGAAGACAACTTCTATGATCTGGATAGCTCTCCTTCACCTGCACAGTTCAATTACATCTATGAACGAGTGTAGTTTATTCCATGTATAACCATTCTTACCTTGAGGAGCAGCGTTTCACTGGTGTTTCACTGCTATCTTAGGAGGGCAAAATACTAACTTATGAACAGAGGTGCTACTCCAGTTTTTATTTTGTTTTGATTTTGCCAATACAGTTGGCTGGTTTGCTGCTATTTATTGCTATTTTAGAGGATTTTATAATAAGTCACTTAAACACAATGTATCAATAATGTAATCTTGTATTATGACAAAGTAATATGAATTTTGTTCTTAATTCCTCCCTGTATTTCAAGAGTATTCCACTTTCCTTTCCACATTGGTATTATTACTGCTTTAGAGATTGTCTCTTAGCTTCAAATTAAAAACAAGATACATCAATAAATTCTACATAAAATTGTAGAAGAATGTATTTTCTTTTTAATATGACAGTGTTAGTGGGTGTTTTTCAGTCAGACTTGCAGAAATGTTTGTTCTCCTTTAGTAATGTTTGAAAGTGCCTTGGAGCTTTGCTTACTTTTCCATGGTACAAATACAGAATAGAACTCACAGAACAGCAAGCAATCTCATGAAGTCTTAGCTCTAATTTTATAAAATGTTTTGAAAGAAATAAGTTTAAACAATATTTGCTTTTTGTATCGTAACTGAAACCATACTGCTAAACAATCATATCTTGTGTAGCCCATAATGACATCAGAAATATATGTTTATCATCTGCTCTGGAAAACTTAGCATGATTTTGGCCCAAGGCAAAGTGGAACTGAAATAATTTACAGTTGTCCAAACCAAGATAACCACACGTTTCTGAGGCAATTGATACCTAAAAGGAACACTGCCTTTAGATCGCAGTTCAAGATTTAAGTATACTAACTCCTTAAAGAATGCTGTTAAAGTGTCTATTGGGTTTCCTCCAAAATTGAGTGTGGATTAAACAATCTCCTGTGCACAAAAAAAAAAAAAAGAAGTGATACACGAGATTAGCCCATTCACTAACAACTTTTTCTTTAGGAAGGGATCACATTTCCTACTATCTTTGATTCCTTTCCAGCCACCTCAAAGTGACAACAAAATTCCAAACAAAACAAAGCCAAAAAATATGTTCAACATTTTGACTAGCATGTTTCAAGCAATCTTTCATGTTTTGTCATTAGTTTTAAAAACTAACACGAAAGAATACACAGTACTGACTTCATACCTGTATATAAATCACGGATCTATTCTAAAATAAGAACATCTTGATTTTTCTCTGGTTTTTTTTTTTTTTTTACATGGAAACAGATCAAGACTCCACAAAATGTAATAAAGTAGATTAACATAGAATTACTTTTGTGTGCGTGTATATATATATACTCACTACAGTTAATGAATTATAATCTAGTGAGAAAAAACAAAACATGTAGTCAGATGAAAGATAAATATTTGATTACAGAAACACATTCCTTAACAGACAATCACGGAGTCAGATTTGTCCTTGTCTAGGGCAGAGAACTTCACACTTCTAGCAACTTGCGTAGTTTTTTAGACCAAAAAATTATTATACTGGAATGACAAGAAAGAATGTAAAGTCAAGCACATCACCCATTCATTCAGAGCAGGGCTGTTATGCCTTTCTGTGCATACAAGCTCAGAGGATTTGTCCACCTTTATGCAGAACATAAAACTTTGCATAAATACACAAGAAAGCAAAGAAAAGACAAGAAACCATCAGTTTCCAAAACACATACAGTGGTTGTGAACAAATGCTCTATGACACTGATTCTCAGCTGGGGAGAAATGGGACTTGTTCCTAGCAAAATTCTTAGGGAGAAGGGATTCTTGATTAGGTTTTGATTTCTCCCCATTATAGGGGAGAAGGAAGGGGAAACAAGATTGAGAAAGCCCCAGTTCTAAAAAGGAGCTTCATTAGGTCATTAGGGAGAAAAAAAAAAAATCACAACTAGGGCAGGATAAAAATTTCATTATTTCTTAGAACTTTCCATGAAATCCTGAAAGTGAAATGAGGCCCTAATAGTCAAATATTAAATACACAAATATTACTGAACACAGTCACCTCAGCATAGAAAAAAAAAATCACACTAAAGCATCCAGCTTCTTGCACAGAAAACGTATAAAAAGCACTCTAAAAATAGCAAATTTCTAACAGTCAGGTATACTGTATTGCTGTTTAAAAAGGATGGAAATTGGCTTAAGCACTAGTGTGGAATTGTGAGCGTGCCTCCGGCACAATTTTTGCCCTTGACATCTAGTTGCCCACACTAGACATGAGGAGGAATTGAGCAATTGAGTGTGAACAGAGGCCATGGACTGTTCTCTGTATTCACTACGGACAAGGCTACCAAAAAGACAGGGTAGTCCTGTCCATCTGCAGAAAATTTAGCCATAGGGACCCAAGCGAGGCCATGTCATCTGCCTCCAGCCCTGGCCTAGTTTATTAATTAGTACAGATTCAGCCTTTGGATCTTATAAATCCTTCAAATGACATTCAAGAAGATTCCCTACTGATAAAGAGGACATAGGGTTGATAAGATCTATAAGGTGTACTTGCTATGATGTAGTGTCTTGTGCCAGTATAGCTAAACATCCGTGAAACTGAATAAAACTGGGATCAAAACCAACTGGTATCAAAACCATCGCTCCACAGATTTCCATGCTAAACACAGCTATTTTGCTTCTTGATCCCACCTAGCTTTTTGAGAGCAATAGGGTACTGCACTCTGTAATGTAGACATAATTTTTCACAAGTATATAGATCAGAAAATAGGACTTGAAAGCAGGATGGAGAAGAGAGCATATAGTGAAGCATGTTTGTACACAATATTTTAATTTTATCTGTAATCTGTGTTATACGAAAAGAGTCCTTAAATGCTATTGAAACAATTTTCTAATGAGAGGAATAATGAAAAAGAAAAAAAATTATTGTGAAAAATGCATCGGAAATGTTTATATATAGAACCTGCTTTTTACAGGAAGGAAATACAAATACATGGTAGGCAGAAAGATCTATAACTACTTTTTCTTAATCTTCCTTCTCAGCATGCTTGCTTAGATATCAGGCAACATTTGAGGGAATAGGAAAAATATGGAAATAGGATTCCTTTATACCATCTGGGCAAAAGTAAAAACCATGTGACAATGATATAATATGCAGCGTGAAAAAAGCATCAGACCAGCATGATGTATTAAATACTTCACAGTTTTCTCTGCTGGAGCTGGGTATCAGTAAAAGAAAAGAATTACCTCCATCCGCTCTTGCTTGACATCATCAATCTCATCATCTTCAAACATGGCTAAGAGCTCTCCAGTCTGGTCAATAGAATTGAGAAAGTCTTGAGCAAGCTTCTGCCGTTTGTTGGTGTTATTACTGTTGAATTTATCTTCACAAAGGTAAGCAAAAAACAACAAACAAGTTATTTGGCTTCTCCAAACATCAGCTGATGTCCCTAGGAGGCACACATTTTAGAATCAGATGCGCTATGCAGAAAAGGTCTGTTCTTGCTGTCCTCCTCATACAAGTTGTGCTACTTGATCAAGGTGATGTCACTGCTGTGCTGCAGTAAAACTAGTAAAAAATCCCCTTTAGTGTTTTCTAGCATAACTTAGTGTTTCCTTGTAATCTGGAGAAACCCAGCCTTCTGCTCATATATCATTATTTCTCACTGAAGGATCTGCAGTGGACAGAGTTGTAGAAGAAAATACTCTTCTGTGGTTGCACAAAAACCTCACTCATAGAACAGAATATATAGAGGAAACGTTCTTTCCTCAAAGCATCCAGAACATCCTAATTACCTACAGCCTAACACAAACCATAACACAAACGCTAAGACGCAGCTCCACAGGTGATGGACTGTTGCTCTACAGTAAAACCTGGAGAACCCTGACAAAGTGGTCTCTGCTGTTCTAAACAGATTAGCAGCTATAGAGACATGAGCTTTGCAAAAAAAAATTAATGGCTTCAATTACCAAAGCCTGCCAGAAAATGCAGTCTTTAACTCCCAGATAAACTGTGTTTAGAAAGCATTTCATGAGCATGTAAATGGCTTATGAAAATTGCTTATTTGTTTTAAACAGTGACACAGACTTAAGTATTAAAAACCCCAAAGCTATCAGGTAGGAAGCTATACTGCCAGATTGCTTGCACGAAACAATATTCTTTCATATGTGGTGAAAATAAAATGCCACAGGCAAATTAAATCTCAAATGATTTGACAAAAATTTATCTACAGATTTACTAAGTCAAAGAAAGAAGTACAATGTTTACCTAACATCAATGTGGATGCTCAGAGGAACCAATCACAAGGAATTCATTGCAAGGAAAAAAAATTAAAAAATAAAAAAATAAAAGGCTCTAAGAAAGGAAATAAGTTAAATACAAAAAGTTGTGCACTGACATTGCTAGCTGTTATAAAAGTATGGCAAGCTTTAGATTTGCTATGATAAGGTTTAACACAACTTTTTACAAAGGAAATGCTAATTCTTCTATTAATATAAATCAACAGAACTTTATACCAGCAAACTATTTGGCATAAATAAATATATTTTTAATTCAAAGAACTTTTCCTTTAAATGCATGGGTTATAAAATCTGTGACTTGCTCATGGAATGGGGAAACAAAAGTGTTTTCCACTCTTCAAATTACAGATTCAACGTATAAAATGTTAAACCACATTGAAAACAAGCCCAGGTCATATATTAGCATTCAGTGACTTCAGATTATGGGATTTTATTGCAAAACATGTCAAAATCCTTTGATAATAATTTAACAAATGTCCATTCAATTGCATGCGGTAGCTGCCGCATTTAAATTACACGTGCTGAAACCAATTAGCCCTTTAATTAGCACCAGTTTCGTACTTCAACAAAGTTCTGACATTAAGCAGTCTTACTTATCATTTGGATAGTAGATGCAAATACTTACTTTTGAAGTATTTAAAATGGAAAAGCAGAGATTTTAAACCAGCTCACTCTGGAGAAAATAGTTTTCTGTCTTTAACCATTAAGGAAGACATTAATACTTTTCATTGAGCTGTTCAGAGCATTTCTAAAATACCAAGCCTCCCTCAAATTAGGTAATTCTTTTTCTACCTTCAAGGAGGTCATCTTCTTCTATTCCTTTGACAATTTTGGATTTGTAGTCTCGAAAAAACATGTATTTAAGTAGCCTTCTAAGCTTCTTCTAAGAGAAAAGAATACATTTATATTAATTAGTATTATATATAGTTACTTTTTATTTAGATTAACTTTAAAACACACAAACATATAATTGTGTAATATATTACTCAGTAAACAACTTTTTTAAAACGTACATAATTTTTGATTCTGCAGGAAATCCTTACATAGAAAGTACATCAAGATCAGTAGCAATTTCACATTAAATATTATTTATTTGAGCTCCTTGGTAATTTGCTTGCCAACTGTGAGACAGAAACAGGTTTTGACTTTCAGAAAGTAGAAATTCAGAAATCAGGCTTCTTCATGGCACTTCAAAATCTTAGCTTAGTTTGGAAATTCAAACATACAAATGCCTGTTTTCATAACCTTTGACATACATATTGAGCACTGTTATCAGTACAGCCTTATGGATCATATCAGATAAACTGTAATTGGTTTTTACATTTTAGTGTTTTTTAATTTTGATATGGCTTTGGTCATTAGGTTTAACCTATCAAACAAGGAAAGATAAACAAAAAGGGAGAGGAAAAGAGGACAGGAAAGGGAGGAACTAGGGGAAAAAAAAGAGATAAAGGAAGAATAAATAATGTTGATAAAAATAGTTGAAAATCATTTTTTCATAATTTTAAAATTTAAAGAAAGAAAATTAATGTAATCTTCGTATGGAAAATTGTTTTCTTTAAATTATTGACCTGCTCTTCTTGTGATCCAGAGAAAGCAAGATCATCCCTAAATTTGCAGATTTTAGTGAGATAAAGTACAGGAGAAAATATTATAAAGGAAAAATCAAGACAGGATTTACTGACAGCCTAGATGACAAAAATGTAATGGTCACACCGTCAAATATAACATTTACACTCTGCATAATGAGGAGGAAATTAGAATGATTGACTTTTAATAAAAGGGATATAACGGATAAGGGTCAATATTTATATCTTTATTAAGAAATTGTTTTGAGCTTTAGGGTACAGTACCCACCCTAAAGCTATTGAAAAAAATCTATTCCTAATTGATGTTTCTGGAAAAAATCAGAATTAATTAAAACGTTACACAATTATTGTACTCTGTACAATACAATACAATTGCAGAGCCCCTATATTTTTAAATAAAGCTATTAATGATGATGAACTCCTTTCACAGAGGTTAAGCAAACACTTTAAAACATGATAAGCAGCTATGTAAAGTAAGAAAATTCTGGTTTTTTACCGTACCTTATCTTTGCGCATTAAGAACAGGAGATCTTCAGCAGAGATGACTCGAGCTCCTCTCAGCTGAGAAACTTCAGCTGCTTGCTGCAACTAAAATAAATTAATAAATTAGGACGGCTGTTTCTGTGTTAAAAAATTTTATTCCCCAGGATTTGTTTTAAATAAGTTCAGATAATATTTTGCATGGTAGTGAATAGCAAAATACAAGCTATGCACTAAAATACAAGCTGGGACTCTCAAAGGTGTCACTCACTCGGCTCTTGCTAGCCAAGAAGTGAACAACAATTTTATGAAAAGACTGAAAGACTTTTGACAAATCTCAAGCAAAAGCTTTTTTGTTTGTATTTAAAATGATTGCTTTTAAAAAGCGCTACATCCCTGTTTTTTTTTTCTTTCCTTGCACCACATTAGCCCAGAAAATGAACGTATAATTCTCTCAGGCAATGTAAAAATGCCAAATTCTCACCATAGCACTTTATTTGCAACTGTGGAAGGGTGGCTGATCTCCCTCACAATTTTTTAGAATAACAAATATTAATTTTAAACAGCTTACCTAAGTATTTCTTGAAAGAAACTCTACCCCTACTTGACTTATCATTAGTACAAACCAGACTCACATAAAGGCATTTTCAGTCATACTCTTATTTAATTTTAGAGAGAGAAAATTAATTGATAGGAAACACTGACTCTATTAATAAAGTAATTGGAAAAACCTTACTGAGCAGACGAGGCCATTCAGACATGAAAGAGATAAAGATGGGACTGAGCAATGAATGCCACAAAAATTGGTAAGGGGTGGCCAAAGGAGCGTGAAGCAAAGAACTGTCCTCACCTCCATTGCAACAGTGCCTCTAAAAGCCTCAAATCATGCTGCAAAGCACAAAAATCTCTTTGTAAAGGACTAAGCACATCAGCCTTGGGTTCACCTTCAGTGGGTGCAGGAAATTGGGCTAATTTATACACAAATAGATCATATCGAAACCAGTACAAGACTAGAAACCTTGCACAAGCTCATCAAGCGACTGGCATAAGGAGGCCCAACCCAAACACAGAAGAGAAATATACGGGATTTCCTCCTTTCATCTCTCTAGCCTTTGGTTCTGGTGTGAGATGAAGCTGTAGAATAGGTGGGATAGAAAGGATGCTTCACAGCATGGAGTATGCCTTTTTCACTAAATTCAAAAATATTGTCCAAAAGGCAAGATCATAATCATAATCTCTTTGCTATTATCCTTGTTACCTATCTGATAGATGGACTGACAGTGAGCACAGTACAGAAGTTATCAAAAGGAGAGACACCTTAAAAAATTCTTGATATTAAAACTCATACACACCTGTAACACAATCGATAAAGAAAAATTTATTTTCAAATATCTTCATATTCTTCTTTCAGAAATGCATTAATGCACCTGAAAATAATTTAAAGAAATCCTATCCTTCATGCTCACACTGGCAATGGTTTCACTCAGTATCACTGACTGAATAAGTATATTATTAATCTGAGCTCCCATGCTGCTATGACTTGAAATAGGCCTATTCAGAAGTTAAAAAGATCAACAAAAACAGTAGCTGTTTCTAATATCCAAAGGGGGGAGGGGGGTAAAGATTTTCATTTTGGCAAGTGTTCAGTGGGCCAAAGATTCAGTCCATAAATCATAATACTGGCCTGCATTAATTTTTTTCCACACTAATCACACGCATACAAAACGTTAACTGTATCTCATATGCACAACACAAAACATACTGCGTGAAGAGTTTCAGATTTTCCCCTTGAAACCTTCTCTTGGCCCTTGCAGTCACAGAGACCAGAGAGACTTCAGGAATTCAGAAGTCACAGTAATATAATCTTACTTGAAAAATGTAAGAATGTGAAAAACGATAGTTCTATTTTTTGGCATAAGCAAAACTGTTTCTTCTTCTGATTAGTTTGAGGGCACGCAAGCTACTTATATTTCTAACATAAAATATAAAGAGCTGGACAAAAATAAATTTACCAAGAACGAGCCAATATTCATCTCTGGTGTAAATCTATTGCAGTGAATGGATTTATGCCAAGACTGACTTTGGCCCCACCAAGCTTAAAAGTGTTACAAAACCTGACCTTAGCATGGCGGTAACACAACACAGCTTTTCCACATAGCATATAAAACAATGGCAGAAATATCTGACATGAAAGTATGCTCCAGTTCCCTAACACATACAGGATCATAACTATAATCTTTAAAGTCCCTTCCAACCCAAACCATTCTATGATTCTAGAAGACATTCATTTTCTTACCATGAAATTCAGGTATGTTAATTTCTGAAAGTAGTGGAAATATCTTATTTTTTCAAATGATAAACACGTGACAATGTCATTTAAAGCAAAGATTGTGTGCACACTGCTTACATGAATGTCCCAATGAAGTAAGAGAGAGCAAGGAGAGGAGGCCAAATTCACGTCCCATTTGCATCTAAGTAAATCCTGAATAACACTGTTTACTTTAATGGAGTTATTCTGGGCTAAACACAAGATCAAAATCTGGAACAATATTCTTAGCTTCTACCAAAACAATGAAAACTTTATTCTCGTATTGACTCAACTTCTGCATCTATTTTATTTTAAGGAATGAACACGCAGCATTTAATTTCTTTGGCTTAAAGAAAGCAAAATACGAAAATAATTACTTCCTGTACAGTTATAAAATATGGATTATTTATCCAAACAGACCATAATGACTTCTGCATTGGTACACATATTTACCTGGGAAACCAGGATATGCTCAGGTAAATATGTATCCAAGCAATTAAAAAAAATTATGTACCACACAGCCTAGGTTGGGGGGAAGATGTATTTATAGCTTTAACACACATATAATTGACTCATTCAAACCACAACATGAGTGTTTGGCTATAATTAGTATTATAACAAACTGTCTTATTTGACTGTCCCAGAGTTGCCATTAATATGCAATAAGACCCAATTCCTTAACTTCCGGAGCTGAAGGCCCTGTTGAGTTACATGATGAAGGGGGATTTCAGGAAGCCATATCAAAGAAACAATCCATCTCCAAGCACCCGAGCATTTGTCATTCTAGAAAAGAAATTTTCAGCTATGCAACCTTGAAGTCAGGAGGTCTTTCACCTTTTGCTGCAGTGGCAGTACTGGGGGTTTTTTACTTTCTGAGCAGTGGGTCTACTGCCCGTGACTCCAGATGATAGGCGTGATATAAACACTGCAACAACTTTTCATATATGAGGTTGCTATATGGCAACAGTGGAAATATGGCAAGATTTTCCCACCATCTCCTTTCTCCAAGGTTCAGCTATATTCAGTGTCAGTTAAAGAATTTGAGGCAACAGTAGTTCCAACATCCTCATAGTCTTTTCCTAATTTTTTTAGTGATTATTTAGTCCACATTACAAAATATTTTGGTTTGGATTATCCTGAAGAACAGCAAACAATCCAAATTACTTAGCTTCTTAAAGAAAAACAGGCTAAATTTCCTAATACCAGTGAACAACATTTGAGACCTTGCAGTCTGTATATGTTTTTTTTATTACAGCCAAATTGTGAACCCCTAAAAGTGAAGTTTAAATAACGGAAGTGTTGAAATGACTTTAACTATAGGAGCGCAAATAGCTCTGTTAATAATTAGAAGTTTATGAAAAATAAGTGTATTTTACAATTTTTTCACATTACAAAGAAGGTAGTATATACAGTAACTATATTTTAAAGTCTAAGAAGAAATGGCTAGGGAATAATATTTTAAAATGTAATCACCGCTTTAATGACTTTATGAAGTTAACTTTCTTGGCAGGATGAACTGAAGTATGTTAACAGTCACCTTACGGCTATTTTCTTTTGCAACTTCTGCAAATTATAGATTTGTTGAAAGGAGTATTCATTCTCCTATGACAGAGGCACAGTTACTTCAATGGTACTGTCTGCTTTTTTTTTTTTTTTCATAATTATTTTTTCTTCCACTACCTCTAAAGTCAACAATCACCGATACTACTTCTACAAAAACATCTTGATGGACAAACAAAAAGCTGGAAAACAAACATGCTATGTTGTGACATAATCCTTCCAGTTAAACTGCAGGACAGAGTCAAAATGTTTGCATGCCTTGAAACTGCTGAGAGCCAAGAATAATACTTCAGGAGCTGTGATTTTGTTTTCATTACAGAGGAAAATTAGATCATAGTTCACCTGGTTGATTTTTTTTCTCAGGCAGGAAGGTTGTTTTGTTATTACCTATGCATAAAAATGTCCTATTTTTTCATATGTTCTAGATCAAAAGTATGCAACTCTAAAAATATCAAGAGAATATTTTGAATTTAGATATGGTGCTGTAAATGTAATCTAAACAGAGCATACCAATACTTTTTGGAAAGCAATTAAACTTTGTTTTTCACTTCAAGCTTTCCATATAATATCTCACATACTACTAAAGCTGACACTTGAGCTTCTATTCCAAACATACCTGGGGAAAATACAGAACTTGTTTTCACTAGTCAGCACAGGAATATATTTACACAGCACATCCTGAGAGGATAATCACATTATGGAGTCCATTAAAGCATTGTAATAGCGAATGATTTAGAATGACCACACAAAGGTTAAACAGTATGACTAAATCATCACAAGCTGTCTAAATCATAAAACTTTAATCTGCAGATTAAAAGACAAACAATTTTCTTGTTATTAGGTATCTGTTTTCAAATCTAAGTATTTTTTACTGAAGATCATTTAATGTGACACCAGGTGATTATGTGTGACCTTGAGAAGATAAAGCTCTGCGTCTCATTTTGAGGCTTTGGAGTAGCACTTTCTTGCTTGACATATAGCGAATTTCAGTCTATGCAGAACATGAGAATATGAAAACATCAGTTCATACCCTCTGGCCCCTGGCATTTACTAAGAACTTGTTTTTAAGTACGTAATTTGCATAAAGAACTGGCTGGATGGTCACACTCAAAGAGCTGTGGTCAATGGTTCAATGTCTACATGGAGACCAGTGTCAAGCGGTGTCCCTCAGGGGTCTGTTCTGGGTCCAGTGCTGTTCAACATCTTTGTCAGCAACATGGATGACGGCATTGAGTGTACC